TTTCCGTCCTGAGCGTAATATGCTGTCAAGAATTGGATTGAAGATAGAAAAGATGCCGTACCTATACATACCCTCTAAAATTTAAACACCGGCCTGGTCAGCCATCAATCAAAGGAATAATATGTAGAATGAAATGTAATTGTCTGTCTTAGAATCCTTTTTTTTAATGTTGTGGAAGAATAAGATACTGTATTTTGTGTGTCACAGTTGGACAAAAAGTATATTGTTTGCAATATAGCATAACCTATTTCTAGCTTTCCATTCGCTCATTGCCATGCGCAAAATACAGAATTGCTCCATACTTATAGTTACAAAATATCCTTCAAATAAATTAAATTACGCATACAGTACTTTATACCTGCTAGTGCTGGGATGCCGCATACCAATGCTAATTTCGAATTTTTCCTAACGCGACGTTCATTCACCAATGAAATTTACGTTTAAGACACTCCGGTGATAAGAAGCAGTCGTGGCCGAGTGGTTAAGGCGTCTGACTCGAAATCAGATTCCCTCTGGGAGCGTAGGTTCGAATCCTACCGGCTGCGTAAATTTTTCACTCTTCTGGGATAACGGTGGACGCTTTTTATTCGTGTGCAAGTTCTGTCATATCATTTTAACACAAAGAGACTGTTAAAATGCCACTATTTCAATTCAAGTGAATTGAATATTGTTAAATACTGTTACAGTACTTTCACATCATATTATTTAAGTATTGAAAGTAAAATATGTACTTCCACAAAAACCTCGGGCTTCATAATACTGTACTGCACTCATCAGCGTCCATTTTGAAATTTTCGTTAAAAGTACTATGCACCAACATTCAAAACACAACCCCGGAATTTTGAAAAAATGCTGTCCCTGTGCAAGATACAGACCTTTGTAATCAATTACCAAAGCTCCCCATTTGTAACACAGTATTCAATTAAAATCTGCCTTAAGCCCAATTGAAAATTGAAATCGATGCCATCATTTTTGATGCATGGGGTGTTGAAAATGTTCCAAATTTCCAAAAATGTCACTTGCAAATTTTAAACCAACCATGACAGGCACCTTTTTTTCAGCGAAACATTTTTTTTGTTGAAAAAATTGCGTGTGGTGCAGCAGGTCTTGGAAGTATGCATAAAAAGAAAAGAAAAAAATGAACCAGGTATACAGTAAGAGTTATGGAAAATATTTTCAAATCCCTCCAAACTACTCCCAGGAATTCATGCGCATTTATTCATTCAACAAGTCCATAAAACCTTACAGTATAAAGAAAAGAAAAAAAAGAACCAGGTACAGTAAGAGTTATGGAAAAGATTTTAAAATCCCTCCAAACTACTCCCAGGAATTCATGCGCATTTATTCATTCAACAAGTCCATAAAACCTTACAGTATATACAAATGTACGAACAGTAAAATCCACAACAGCTGAGAAAATTGCCCAAGCTGGGAAGCTCTCGAAAAAATCATCTGTCTCAAGGAATGCGAAATTTCCGCGGAATTTCAGTCACTAATACCTCCCCAAGTTGAGCACCAGCAATAAACACGGTATCACTACAAAAATCATCCTGAGCTCAGGAAAAAAAACAAAAACTTGTACACGGACTGAGCTCACGTATTATCACTATATAAAGTCTTCCGACCACCTCATTCATTTTTTTACACTTGAGGCACTTCGCGAAAAAAGTGCTCGCAAATTCTGCTCAACGTTTGGCCAAATAACGTTGGTTTCCTTGCCAGCAAAATCAGACACGACTCCTTTTGCCCGGAAGAATTCCACAATCGGAGCAACTGTGTCTGCATAAATCTTCAATCTGGTAAGAACAGTTTCCGGCTGGTCGTCGATCCGTTGCGCCAATGGTTCTCCGGTGATGTCATCAATTCCCTGCAAATTTAACAGCACAATATTCATTAATGAAAAAAAGGTGAACAAGAATACCAGGGATGGTACGAAAGTTTTATCAGCACGTAACAGAACTTGAATCAGATCTCTGTATATTTGCCAAGAATTTACTTTTATCCCTCTGATGTGTGCACAACTTCTTCATAATCGAGGAAATTTCCAAGAAAACTTCATCTTCAGCATCACTAACACGAAAAAAATAATATATATCACATTACTTATCGATATATTTTACACGGCTGTTCAGATGAGTAACAAGGATACATCTGGCAATATTGTCCCGAGAATATATCTAAATACTGTAACTTCATACGTTTTCCGCGGAACTCACTGGTTCTTTTGGAGGATTGAATTCCAGATTGTAAATCCTCCCAGAGGGTAAATGGACCCAACGAGCTTTCAGTCTATCCACAATTGTTTCAAATGGAACGTTCAGGTTTATCACTGTGTCAATCGGAAATTCTTTCCACAAAGACTCGGCTTGGTGATGGGTCCGAGGAAAACCTGAAAATCACGAAGAAATCAATATCATGAAAATAATTTCAAATTCCAGAAAACAAAATATCGTGCGAATATCTTTGCACAAAAAAATGCACACATTACGTAAAATTAGAATTACAGTACAGTACTTCACACTGAAGGATGAAAAAAAATAATTCAAAAGTAAAACGCGAAATGCCTTTGAAATTGAAACTTTCATTCAAAAAACACAACATCTGTTAGCTGTAATTTGAGTGGGCTTAAATCAAATTTTTCATGATACGGCGGGATTTTGATTGAGGTGCAAAAAATAATTGTGATTTTTGCATTTCCAAGTACACATAAATACGACTTACCATCCAAGAGCCAACTTTCTTGTTGAGCATTCCTGAGTTCTGCCAAAACAAGTTGCAAAATCAAGTCATCAGGCACAAGTTGGCCTCTGTCAATAAACTCTTTGGCATGCAAACCCAGAGCTGCAAAAAAAACAAGAAGGAATAATTAATAAAAACTTAACGAACGGCAGCAATAAAATGAGATTGAAACTGAATATGAGAATTCTTTAGGAAAAGAGAAAATACTGCAGTTGCAGGGTTAGTCGACCGAGAGAAAATCGTGCATTCGTTTCACCTGTTTTCGCACTCATCTGACTTCTCAACATGTCGCCACTGGAAAAGTGCTTCATCTTGAAAATCTTCACGATTCTTTCGGAAATGGTGCCTTTCCCTGAACCCGGGGCGCCAAGAATCACAGCGCGGAACAGCCCACTTTTCATCTTCACAACACTTGCACAAAAAAATAAATAACATAAAACCGGTGCGAAACTTTCATCAAAGTAACTACGAAAAAATCAAAATACCGAATACACAAGGGCTGGTTCAAAAAATTGTTTTTCACAACTCAGAAAAAGGGTTCTTTTGCTTACGTAATACTCTCCATATTCAGAAAAAAATTTCACCTGCAGCATTACAGAATCAAAAATGTCCAAAATTTGAACTTTTTTTCCATTGGACCATTGCTGTTACGTTTGCGTCATAACCACAAAGTGGAATTTTGAATTTTTTTGCACTGTACCCTTTCAATTTTGTACTTTCTCATCATTATTAATCCAGCAGTAATCCGGAAATCAGAAATTATCATCGTTCAAAAGACTTACAAAAAAAGCAAAAATAAAAATATGATTTCAAAAAGCCAGAAAGAGGAAGAAAAATAAATTTCGAACCAACCCTTGCACATCGTCTAAAATTTTGGAAGCAGAGAATCCGTGGTTTCTCTTCAATCGTTTTTCGTTTTAATCCGGCAAAAACAAACAGTTCCTGAGCGATTTTGCAACTACTTTCCAGCTAGCTGACAAAAAAATGATTTTCTGGCCAAAACCGACGAACGGGAAACCAGACTACGCAGATAAGCTCAACCGAGGAGATGATTCACTGGCCAAAGCGACAAAACTTAGCCAAATAAAAAAAAAAAAAACAATTCGCGTAAAAAATGATTTTCTGGCCAAAACCGACGAACGGGAAACCAGACTACGCAGATAAGCTCAACCGAGGAGATGATTCACTGGCCAAAGCGACAAAACTTAGCCAAATAAAAAAAAAAAACAATTCGCGGCGGACCGGTCAACTCCGGAATCACAATAAAACCGACCACGCAATCGCCACTTGATCATCCGGGTCAGTCGAACCTTTTTACTTTTTTGCAACGTTCTTGACATTGATAACAATCAAACCCGACCGAATATCAAGAGTATACAGTACTTTACCGTACTTCAACAGAGGTACCTCACGAAAGCGAAGGTCCTGAACGATCTTCGATTTTTTTTCTTTTTCTCGCCAAGAACACACGCATGCAAGAACAAAATAAAATCTGGTGACGGGATTCCAAATCTTACGCAACGAACTGAAAATTTCGGCAAATGAACCACGTGAATACCGTTTGAACTCATCACACCACTGATTCCAAGACATCCCTAAATTTCCAAGCCTCTCAAAAACGAAAAGATTTAACATACAATCTCAATTACTATACGCCTAAACTTTATTGCACAAAGTGGACCTCTTACTAAATGTCAACATATTTTTCAACGTGGCTGAATTTAATGTTCTTCGAAGTGAAATCAACCTCGGACTTTCACAGAAATGAAGTGTCCTATGCTTTCTCACACATGCACTTTCAGTTTACAGTTCTGCATGTAATTAAAAAAAAATACTGTACTTGAATTTTCAATCTCAGTAATGAAGCAATTTTCGATGAACTACAGAGAGACTTATCATATAATAAATTTGTGCACAAGTCTTGACCATCCTAATTAAAAACGATTTGGCAAGCATATTCGAAACCCCGTTGATTCCAAAACACATCTTGATTTTGCGAAAAAAAAAAAACTCTCAAGTCTTATAAAATTACGTTACTTCGAACATTGATTCAACATTCGATTAAATCCACTCGTCTCGTTCCAAAGAGAAACAAACAATGAAAAAAGCAGTTCCAACCAGCAGCTGAATTCCGGGCTGCGTTTGCTGAAACGAACAAATGCCTCTTTCGAAAAAAAATAAAAGAGAGATCCGACTGACCCGAATGAATTTCAACAGGAAACGCCAGAAGAAAACAGAATTTCAAAAATCCCTAGCATAATCATGAACAAAAAAAAATTAGCATTCCCGACTAGCTCCCTTTACTTCCCAGTTTTTTTCCACGAATAAAAAGAAAACTCGTTCGAAATGTTGCACTGCGAGGGGAGGGTAATCTTTTTCTTTCTCAGGGGACTGGTAGCGGATCATTTTTGGCGGAATTGCAGCCAAACACCCAATACTATATCCGTCAATTAACAAACGTAGAAATACGAAGGGGTTTCTCAAAAAAATCTCGCGAATATCTTACCAACCGTCATTGCCATTGAATGAAAGATTGCTTCCCCTTTCCAGAAACTTATACAAATTAGAAAAAAATGAGTTTGAAAATTCCTGTCAAGCGCGTTTGCATTTGAAAAAACAAAACTCCACAGGAAGTCTGTCAATTACCAAAACCCAAAATTTTGTTTTGAATGCTTGAGAAAAAAAGCCTTAAACTTAATGACAGCAGCCACACATGTTTCAAAAATTTCGGATGTTAATTATTGCGCCAGTGCTTTGTCTTATGAAGAGTTCACCCACATTTAAACCTTTTCACTGAGAAAATGACGAAGAACCCCCTTGAGCAATTGAATTCGGACGAAAACTCCCGGCGGATCACTATAAAAAAAGTGCAGCACTTGAATTTGCAATATCCAGTTTTTCCTGTTAATTCAAAACTGGAGGTCCTTCGAAAAATTTTCACTGTAATCCATCAGAATCTTGTTCATGTAACAGGATGAAATTTATGTCTCACAACCACATTTCCCTATTTTGCGATGGAAACCGATTGATTACCCGCAAGAATTTCGAGAAACCCCCTCGCAAAAAAAAAAATGATTCGACATCACAAGCCAAGAGAAAAAAAAAATTGCCACACGGGCAAGGATGTCCACGCAAAGACAAAAACAACTAAAAAGAAACAGTCGATCTCCGCAAAATAGCCTCGTACTTGCTCGCCAGGGATTGTTGGGTAACCGGCAGGTTTGGGGAAGGAAAAATAAATCCGAATCAATGGCACGCTCAATGCCCGTTAAAAAAACAAAAAAAGACAGAAGTTTTTGTTTCTTTTCCAACACGAACGGAGTTTTTTCTTGCGTGAGGGCCAGGGGGTGAAGGGACGTCAATTGTGACACGGCGACGGCGGTGAGGACACAGAGGGCCGACTACCTCCTGCGTCGATTATGAATTTGATACGTTTTGGTTGCACCGTCGGGCTGCTGTCTGCTTCTCTTTTCACACCTTCCACTACCGGCACCAGTCTGCAACGATTTATTCTTTAAAATAGGGCAAAAAATGCTTTTAAAAAATATGTCAAGGCAGTTCATTCGTTAGCAAACATATACTGTACTTTGATTTGAAATACTCCGAAAATTATGTTTAAGCTGTCCAAGAATGTTTTTGAGCATTCTTGCGATATTTTCAAGTACAGTAGTTTGGGATTATTCTCAAGCAAATTCGATCCGCAATTGCACTCGGCTCCATTCGCAAATAACTCCAACGAAAAAGTCAAAAATATTTTTCTTCTAAAGATTAAACACCGTAAAATACTTCATTTTGCAGTTTATTCCCCATTTTTTGAACAATGAACTTAGTAAAAACGTAGGAGAAACACCATTGAGAAAAATTTAAGAAAATACGAGAGTACCCAAAAACGTCGGCGTGAATTCAAGAATTTCGTAATTTTATAGCAATTATATTCTTGATTCAAATGCGTTGAAATAAGTGGTAAAATTGTTGAGGAGAAAATAGTTCGTAGACGGTAATCATCAAACCATTTGTATGACATAAACTAATTTACAAATATTGCATGAATAAAAAACTCGATCCAATCCCTGTAAAATTACCGTCGTATGAAATTTATAATTGCCAATGAGTGCCATTGACATCTACCCATACTCAAACAATACAGTAGTACTTCCTCAAGGAGAAAAAGTACAGTACAGTACAGTACAGTACAGCACAACAATCATATTTAAGGTACAGTAGCACAAATCTTTAACCAAACGTGTAATTGTTGGACACCATTTAAAATAGGTTTTCCAGCAATAATTTTCATTCACAATGAAGAATCACCATACAACAAAAAAATTCAGATTCGAGGCAAGTCTCACCGGAAACCAGGGTTCAAAATATCCTGCCCTCCTGACGTCGTTGTGCTTCCCAAATAGACATACGCTTGGTGCCCATGTCCCGCATTCAAAGCATTGTACTGCAAAGTAATGCCCTGTGTTGGCTTTGTTCTGTCCACAGGACTCTCATCATTTAGTTCAATGCCTGAAAATATAATAGGGAATCGAAATTAAATCTAGAACAGAGCATGAGAATAATCAATCATAGCAGTCAGTAGATATTGTATTAAGTAAACTGTATAAAAATTCAGCACAGAGCCCGTTTTAATATTCAGTTAGATGAATTTACATAAACCGATTATCTCGCAAATTTTTCTGAGGGATTCAAGACGCTGCACAATTCCAAAAGTCAGTACTTTCCCATGACTAATACAAGTACTGTATAATCTGTGTAAAGCCGAATTTCATGTGAACTACCAACGAAAGGGGATCAAATAATTAGGTAAAATTTGTAATTCCTAAAATTTCCTGTAGTCCCGTTCGATGATCTTCTTCTTATCGAGCTATCAACTGCAAACTTGTGTATTCTCCATCGTCACGGATGACTTCGTTGGTAATGTTCATCATCCCAATATCGAAAAAGTTGAGAATTTCAAGCACAACATTTGGTACAGATTTAAAGAAAAATAGGCACAAATTTCAATTTAATACATTGTTCAAGGAAAAACGTCTATTTTCGGGAAATTTTGAAAACATATACTCAAAAATTAAAATCATAAGTAAAAAAAAAATCCTAGCTTCAAAGAATAACTCGGTCCGCTGAGGGCCAACACATAATACAGGTGGACACTCTCTACAACGATTTTCTCTGCAAAATGATTTTTTCATGACCACATAGGGTTCTCTCGCAGCAATCCATAGGGGTTCTACACAGACTACACAAATTCTCTCTGCAGTATAAGTATTTTTATTTTGGTCCACTGCATTTTATTTTTCGAATACAGGCGGACTCTCTACTACGAAATTCTCTCTACACTGCAATTTTTTTATTTCTGGTCCCCTGAATTTTATTTTTAAAATACAAGTGGACCCTCTCAACAACGAAATTCTTTCGGTATTACTGTATAATGATTTTTTATTTCTGGTCCCCTGAATTTTATTTTTTCAAAAACAGATGGACTCTCTCTACAACGAAATTATCTCTCCAGTATCATGATTTTTACTTCTGCTGGTCCCCTGAATTTCGTCGTAGAGTCCACCTCTATTTGGAAAATAAAATTCGAAGAAACCCCGTCAACACCCCAATGATTTGATGATCGCCTGAGCGATAGCAAAAAGGTCTTCCCAGGGCGTTTAAAAAAAGGAGGGGGGGGGGGGGGTGGAAATAAGAAATGTCCCAACTCACGCCTAGGAGACATAACAGGGGTAACTGCGGTGCACGGGAATGCGTGGTGAATCGGGCCAGGGGACGGCTCCCTGGACAAGCAGTTGGGCGTGGTTAGGCCACTGATGCCGCCTTGGGTCGGCGAGGCCGGCGCCGAACGCGACGACGAGAACACCGAGGACAGAGTCGAGCAGCCGGCGCCACCGGACTTGTCTTTCGAACTCAAGTAGTTGCCTGGCGGCAACATCCGTTGCCGTCGTTTCCGGTACGCTTGTTCTATCAGCTTCGCTTCCGACGCCGCGTCCACGCGCCAGAACGAACCTTTGCCCGGTTCCTCTTGGCTCCTCGGCACTTTTACAAAGTACCGATTCAAGGAGAGGTTATGCCGTATGGAATTCTGCGAAGTACGAACGTCTTTATCAGTACTGTACGCCCTACAGGTTTTCGTTCGTTAGATCATTTTAAAGATCAACTTGGCCCACTCAGAATTTCAACAGAAAATAAGAAAAATACCAAATTTAAAGGTCAAGTTTATACTATTCCTGAATTTTTGTTTAATTGAAATAATTTCACAAGCAATTGAAAGAATCCAGATTTACGAATGCATTAAAGCGCACTGTCTATTTTTTTCAACTCACGTTTCGCAAAAAAAGCTGCATATTTGGGTAAAAATTGTAGTTTTTCTCGGCAAAATATGGTTTATTTTCAATGTCCGAATAAAAATAATAGCAAAGTCACGTGAATTTGAGTTTTCAACCTCTCAAGTGATATTCAAATAAAACATTTATTTGTGCTTAATCATGAAATTCAACTAAAATTAAACCAAATGAAGTACTTGTCCAAAAGAAATACAAGTTTAATTTTGAGAGGCAAGTTTTATTTCTTTAAAAGCAATATCCTTTCTTAACACGTAAACCAGGTTTATAGTACAATGGACTCAAACACAATTCGATCAACTGCGTCAACATCACCTAATGACGAATCATAAGTCGAAAAATAACGATCAAGGAGTGGATTTTCGTGGTTTACATACCTTTAAAATGTTCAAAAATGACAAAGACATAATATTCCATCCTTAACTAGAAAAAAAACATAAAAACACTCAAGGAAAAACTTTTTCGAGAGAAGAAAAGGGGGAATGCATAGAAGGCAAACCAACCTGCCAACCCTTATCAGCTGTGCGGTAGTAAGGATAGTGTTGGGTAATAAACGAGTAGATCCCGCTCAGCGTCATTTGTCTCTCCGGTACTGAAGCAATCGCTTGAACAATCAGTTGTGCATACGAATACGGCGGTTTCCCTTCGTTCTAAAAATAACATGAAGACCAAAAAAAAAAAAAAAACATCACACGTCAAGAAACCTATGCTACAGCATCGAAAAAGCCTTCAAGTCCTACAAGATTGCTCGATGATGAACATTCATAACAAGACAATTTACAAAAAAGAAAACCTTTCCATTCAAGAACAAAAATAAACAGCACGTGCAAAAACGCTGGAAATAAAAAAAAAACATTTATTTTCCTCAGTTTATTGAGTTCAAATTTTTACTCGTAAATGGTACTGAACAAGTATCAAACAATTTTTGAATTCCCAGCACTTGACAATCTACACTTTCGTCTCACTGCAAAACTTAATATTATATCACACGTGAAAAATAAAAAATGAGTGCTGATTAATACAAAGGTTATCGATACTTAAAAAACCCAACTGACAATAGAAGTGAAGCACAAAAAAAAAATGACGAGGAATTTCCAAGAATTACTACAGTATTTCTTCGGAATTCCTCAAAAATGTGCGCAGTTTTGTTGAGAATAAGAACTCAAGAGTCATTTCAAGAGAAAAATCCAGCATTTGTTACATAGTCAAAAAATTTCTACACTTCCCCTAATATGCATATTTTACTCCCCCTGCTTACAATTTACCACAACCTTCAGATTCAGCATCACTAAAAAAAAACTATCAAGATCACACATTGCCTTGGAATAATTTTTGTAAGATCTGTGACTTCAAAACCAAGAATATCTTTCAAAAACAACAATGCGTCTCGCTTTGTTGCGACAGAATAAAATAAAATATCATCAGGAAATGATAAATATTCACCCACCCGCTTGGGACTTGTAAGCGGGGTGGACACCGACTGTCCATTCGTCGCTTGCGGCGCCAGCGAGGAAACGGATCCGCCACCGCCACCGTTTTCGCCATTGAGCACACCAACAGCCGCCGTCGCCGACCCGCTAGTATAAAACGACAACACTCTCGCCGGCACGAAACTCCTCACGCCGCTCCTCGGCGACGCCGGACACGAATTCGGCACACTTATGGTGCCCGTCGGCGAAGCCGGCGACGAACAAATCTTCGGCCCGGGAATACTGATCTGCAATGGGCTAAAATACGGCGCCTGAATGCCGACAACGCCGCCGCCGCCGAGGTCGTCGAGACACGCAGAGTCCGTCGACGAGTCCAGCGACGTCGTCGTCGTCGTCGCCACCAGAGACGTAAACTGTATCCGAATACTCGTGCTCGGAAACCGGAGCCAACACGCAGTCGGCAACTTGAACCTCGGCCCGCTTTTCCTCAAAAACATGCCGTCGACGAAAACTCCGTTCTTGCCGTTGCACACGAGGAAAAACGCGGGCGGGGATTCCGAGTCTTCGTAAAAGATCTCCAGGTGACGTCGGGACACGAAACTCGAGTGGCCCATGTTGATGTCGACGACGCCCTTGGACGAGTTCCGGCCAATCGTCGTGTGTCTGTGGGTGATGAGGTACTTGAAGTCTTGCGACTCGAGTTTCCCGAGCGCCGGTGGGTCAAACTGAAGCGAGTTCCGGTGGTGGTGATGATGATGGTGGAGGTGGTGGTTCTCCGACATTGACGACAACGCCAGCAACGCACATCGCTCCTTTTCCGAAGTTTCCGGAGACAAACTTGCCTCCATCGCAGGGGGGGAGAAGAGAAATAAAAAAAAGTAGAACACTGGGACTCACCAATGGCCCACCATCCACCTGCGGAATAAAATATATACCGTAATTATATTAAAATACAAGATCTTCACTTTCAATCACAACACACATCGAACACGCGAGTTGTCCCACTTTCGCTTGACCTTGGGTATTTCTGGAGTAGGTACAGTACTAATGTAAAAAAATTATTACTAATAAGAAAAAAGTTGGTTCCTGTCTGTGGTATTTTTAAATATGAGAAAAATAGCACTGACAGAAACTAGGCCTTGGATGATGTTTTTGAAAAGAAAATGTAAAAAAAAGGAAATTAACCCTCGGTCTTGGAAAAATACAAAATGCGCTTCGGTTTTTTTGTTGTTGGAAACCAAACGATCATTGAAAAAATTTGAAAATTTTACAAGATGTGGGAAATTTTATGCTACAACTTGAATATTTCCCTTTTTGTCTCGCCTGAAAAAGTTTCAGCAGCTTGTGACATGAATGGAGAACTCTCACTGGAACTGGAAAGTTTTCCCTTATCATCATGCAGTAAATCTCAAAGTTTTTACAGTATAAATAAAAAAACAACCCAGAACCTTACAATTGCATGGGCTACATCATACATATATTTTTTTTACACTTGTATCTACTTTAGAAATACCAAAGGCAAAGCAGAAACGGGACAACCTGTGTACATGTCAAATTCCTGAACATCCTAATTTCTGAAAATATAAGCACACCCTGTTTTCATGAAAAAAATTCCAGAATCCATCAAAACGCAAAATCAGCACCCAGTTACTTTCATGGTGTTCTGGCTTTGAAGAAACCTACTTTTTTTACTACATTCAGATTTTCCCCAAAAAGGGAAAAACCGAGTTACAATATATTTGCTCATCCCCTTCAGTGAATGACTCATGAATCTTGAAGTGCTAGAAGCTGGCCATTTCTTGATTATTTTCAACTTTAATTCCAAAAGAACTGGAGAAAATAAGTCCTCGATTGCTTCGTGGGACGCAAACAGAAAGATTTCCAGATATAGACGCACATTTACGCGAATAGCATAAAAATGCGAATATAAGCACCCTCCTAAATTTTCATTCTTCCAAACTTGGAGAAAAAATGGGTACTTATATTCTAGTAACATGCACAAATTTTCCCCCCGGAATTTTGTTAAGTTGTTCTAAAAATCGTAAATAAAGAGCGCTTTTTAAGAACATTCGTCAATCTTTCCCTTCAAAATGAATTTATTCTTTGGGCCGAATTTCGGCGGGATTCTCAAGGTCATTTATTCATTAGTAATCCTTGTAAAAATAGAGAAGAAATACTGGTTTTCCCTCCCAAGGATGATGCCAAGATAACCTCTTATACTGCACACTTGAGGCAACCGAAAATGCACTTCGAGATATGATGACACGATAAAATGTGAATAATCACCGCCTGTGAAATCTAAACACAATATGAACATCCTTCACTGTAGCAGACACTTAAGAACATGTGAAATGTAAAATTTTCTCAACGCAAATTAAGGTCTCGGACACCAGGAACTGCCAATCACACGAACTCGCGATGCACCATCCATTTTTAACCTGTCAAAAAGAAAGGAGAAATCAATTTTAATTTCGATTCGAAAAAATAAAAAAAACTCAGCGAGTGAAGATCGGTGCATCAGTTTTCCAACAAAAACTTCCCAACGTGGCTCAAACTAGACGTTATGTTACGAAAATCCGCGTGTAAAGGATCGTAAAGCTCATTTAAAAATAAAAATTTGAATTTTCCAATGCTTTCCGCTTAGGCATTCAAGTTTTGAATTTTTTTTGGTAAACTTCCGCTTTCAATAGTTTCATGAACCATGAGTTATAAAATTTGTTTCTTTCAAGACTTTCAAATTCTACATAAGTTCGTTTATATTTTGATATTTAATACGAATCAGAAACACGAAAAAAATAATTCAACAACCCTTGACTAAAATACGTGAAGCAAGTGTACGACTGAGAGCATTGTTTTTGTTGTTGGAAATCTGACGCCAGATGTCGATAAAAATTATAAGTACAAAAAAAAGCCGTCCATTTAAGCGATCATGAAAAAAAAAAAAAACCACGACGGAGTTCGACAGAAAATCCTGCTTTTCGCGCACCGACTGACTAGAAACGATTCTATGCAGACCACGTGCGTCCCCAGGATTACTCCGAACACACTCGCTCTTCTTTTTTGATTACAAAAAATGACACGTGAGTTACTGAGACGAGATGGATAAAAAAAAAATTACGGCCACACTCGCCCGAGCCTGTAAAAATGCCAGGAAGCTGCGAAATTTACCACACGCAGAAACCGGTTTGATTCCTTCTCCTCCGAATCACACACCAACAAATAAAGTAAAAACCGCAATTTCAGGGCATTCGCCGAGCAATCCACGGGATCTGGTTCGTTTTTCGGTAGTTGTACCAATCGTACGTCAATTTCACCGCGATCATTACTATGAGAAGAGCCATCACTCCATTCAACACGTCCAACATGTGCACATCCTCTGTTGTTTGGCACATGGTCTCCAGGGACAAATGCGCAATCTGCAATGGAAAAAGGTATTGAAAAAATTTGCCGAATCTCTGCAAAACAAGTTTATGAATAGTCTCACCTGTCGACCGCGATGTCGCGTGTCGGACGTGCTGCCACATCGGATATCTTCGACGTCTTTAATCAATTTCTGATAATCAGCCAAAAATATCTACCACGAAAAAAACGGAGATCAATTGAAAATTACAAGCACAGTTTCACTAATAAATTTGACCCGAAGATTCATTTTCATGATTGATTTCTTCGACAAAGCACTGACTGAATAATGCGACGGAGCTTCTTCGAAGTCTCCGATATCTGGAAAAGGCATACTTTTTGCGATACAAAAATGAGAAAATACCAAAAATGGCATTATTCACTTTAATTAAAAAAAAATGAGTTCTTCCAAATTTTCAATGGATCTCTCTCTCTTATACAGGTTTACTTTCTATGCATCAATTTTTTTTTTTAATGTTTCTGCAAAACGATTTTGTTGTTCAAATCTCATGAGTTGTCATGAAATAAATTAACGATATAAAAAGGAATACAATAAAAAATTGCGGAATTTCTAAAGCACGATAATCTTCAAGACACCGAATAACAAACCTGGAAATCTGGAGTCGTCATGCAATCGCAAATCCAGGACTCCGATCCGAAGTATAACGAATGGACGTTCACATTTCTCGAAAGTATCGTTCTGAATACATGCGTTGGAATCTGTAAAAACCATAAAATCAACGTCTGGAAAGGTTGGATTTCATCGTGCAACTTACGGTCTGAAAATGGTTGCCCTTCAAGCTGAGAAGGCGGAAATTCTCCCCAAACCAAGTGCCTTGTAAATGATCAATTTTTGAAATAACGTTATTGTCAAGATAAAAGTTCACGAGGCTCGTGAAGTTCACCAGATGCTCTTCTCCATCCAGAGACGTGATCTGAAATTACATATACAGTTTTTCAAAATATCACATTATTAAGATGCTCATCATCGATTCAAACCAGTTTAGGGGAATAAAAGAAAAAAAAAATTTCGTGACACACGAATGGACATAAAAAAATTCATTTAATCTTTAAGAGTTGCTCAAAGAATTTCACAATGTGCATTCTGCAATACTGTATTGTACTCAAAAATGATAACTTCTTTCCAGCATCGAAAAAATTAATCGAAATCTATTCGAAAATAAGAAAACATTCGAAAATTGCACAATCTTTGCGACGTTGGCGGGACGGTATCTTATCACATAACACGCTGAATACAATAGAGAAATTTGCCGTCTGTGCAAAATCTAAATTTATTTCAATAAAACACGTGAATTTGATTGCAACATAAACCTCGCGGTATTCTTACCTTGTTATCTTCCATATGCAGCGTAGTGGTAAATCTCGGGATCACTGCAGGGATTTGAGTCATTCCACGTCCGGAACAATCCACGACAACCATGGGCACAAATGTGTTGTTTTTGAGAGGCAATATGTACGGAACACTGCAAGAACATTCGTAATTCTTTCCACGGGGACAAGTTTCTTCGGCTTCCGCCATGAATTCCAAGACTTTCACAGCAGGCTTCCCATTGAAGCTTCCACCACACTTCCATTCATCCACTGAGATAAGTTCGGTAGTTTTTTCTGGGTCTAGCAGCCAAAATAGTACTGAGTTGCAATGAAGAGGATTCTCCCTAAAATCTAGCTTTGTGCTTGGGTAGGCATTCACAATTGAGTCTTCCAGTTTGTGCAGATTGTTTCCCGAGAGATCAAGTAGTTTGAGGTGACTTGAATTGCTTGACGGCACAACAATATTGTCGACGGCACTTCTGGTCACGCTTAACGCGACCAGATTTTTAGCTTCCACTCCAGGTAAAATCACGCTTCCAACAGAACAAGAGGACACTCTCAAAGCTCCTAGCTTCGGAAAAGCTGACGCGATTTCAACGACATCCAGGGGTTCCAAGAAATGCACATTCACGATGTTCAACTCGGAGACAGCACCGTCTTTGTTGCCAATACTGATGTATTCTGCCACAAATTCGATCAAATCATTCGTACTAGTAAACGTTAAATTGCACGTGATGAAGACGGTAACTTCAATCGACGAGGACGAGCTTGTTGTAGTTTGCCTTAGACATCTTGCGTTTGTTGTAAGGCATGTAAAGTCCTTCGATGGACATTTGGACGGTTCTGGAACTTCTAATGGACTTGAGGATGTGACAGGTAGAAACTTCTCGGGCAAGACGAAGCACATTGTGGAATGGATTACGAAAGTCCAGAGAAATCCCAGAAGTGTTCGTGTACACATGTCGAATGTATCTAGAAAAGGCGGCCAAAACAAGAAAACTTCCTGCAGTTTTCCGAAATATCATTGTTGAATATAAACTAACATACAATGATCAATGGACTTTCCACGGATTGAAAACACATGAAAGAATGAATGTACGAACCGAAGATTTCATGAGAATACACCGAAGGACACGAGGAAAATGCTTCGATGGCAACAGCTTTAGTCTACAACTCGAAGTAAAAAAAAATTTGGCAAGCCATATTATTCAGATATACAAGTACGTTCTCGAAATACAGGTCATTCTCTGTTTAAACGCGACAATTCGAAATCAAGCGGAGCTATCGTTCGCGACAAAGTTTTAACAAGCTTTGGCTTCCGATGAACGACCTTCAAACACGTTCTAAACCAGTGAATTAAAAAAAAGGGTTTCAAAACATAATTTCGCTTGTTCGTTCCCGAACAATTACACCTAGATAATTTTAATCCAGTTATACAACTCACACACTCCAAAAAACAAGTCCGCCTTCGTAATCCATTATCCAGATGAAATGCCCATGTGGGAAACCATTTGTGTTTTGGTTGTGAACAATTCAGTTTATCACAGAGCTAAAGCGAAGAAGATCTGATAAGCAATAGATGATCTTTCAGTTGCGTTAGCAATGAGGTTTGTGCGTTGTAGCAGTGATGGTGTGAGGTTGCGTGTACTGTATCTTGATTAATCAGGGCGATATCTTGCGCTGCTATTATGTGGAAGGGTTACTAAATTTCCTGAAAATGTGGAACCTCAGCAATACTATCAATCAGTCCTCGAAGTCCCTCCGTGATCTCGCAATTCAATCTACGTGTGAGTGCATTGAAATAAAGTTGACCTGAAGCGTTTCATGGAATGTTGGCAGATTCGGGATCTATTGTATTGTCAAGTTATTTAAATTCTCGTCAGAACAGCTGTTTTTTCTGCAATGGTCGACTACAGTAAATGGAAAGATATCGAGGTGCGTATTTTTCGCTTCTCGTCGCCTCGAAAAATTCGAAAATTTGATGCCTCCCGTACTAGATTTCCGATGATGAGGATGATACACATCCGAACATCGATACACCGTCTCTCTTCCGATGGCGACACCAAGCCAGAATGGAAAGAATGGCTGAACATGAACGCGAGAGGTCGAAGATCCAGAAGGAGAAGAAAGAGTAAGTGTGGTAGTGCAGTTTCGGATTATGCGAAAGACCCTACTTCGTTGCTTTTGTTTTAAGAATTCTCAGCAAGAAAGATATGTTGCGCTTGAAAATGAAAGAAGCTGCTGAGCAAGCGGCACTTCCGACGCTATCTGAGCTTGAACGTGAGTTGGCAGAAATCGAAAAAGATGAGGAGCGATTTAGAAAATTGGAGGAAGAAATCGAAAAGAAAGAAAAGGTCAGGCCCTACCGGGATTCTGCGCTTCAGACCAGTTTACGAAACTCCTTTTTATATTCAGCTCGCGCCCTGGAATGTCGACACAATCTCTCAAGAAGGCTTCACGAAGACAGTCATCAACACCGGAAGCAAGAAGAAAGATGATGATTTGACCGAAGAAGAACGCGAGCGACTAACGCAGAAGTTTTACCAGGACAACGAGAGTCTATTGAAAAAGTATGGCATGTTGAAGCGATTCGAAGATTCGAAAAAAATTCTTACGGAACATCCCCAGCTCGTTTGCGAAGACACGGCGAATTACCTCGTGTTATGGTGCATCAACCTGTGCATCGAAGACGTACGTACATTCAATCTTCACACATGTATTGTTTCTATCCCACGGTATCAAATTTTATTTGCAGAAAGAACATCTGATGAATCATGTCGCTCATCAAGTCATTTGCATGCAATTCATCCTGGAACTCGCGAAGCAGTTGGACTTGGATCCCAGATCCTGCGTCACGTCTTTCTTCAACAAGTGAGCTTATCATTTCATCCGTTTTAACGTCAACTTCAAATTTTGGTTTGGTTGGTAGAATTCAAATGGCTGACGAACAGTATCAAGTCGGTTTTGAAAGTGAACTCACTGCATTCAAAGACCGTGTCAAGAAACGTGCTGAAGAGAAAATCCGCATCGCAACGGAACAAGTCGAGGAAGAAGAGCGACAGAAAAGACTCGGTCCTGGTGGTTTGGATCCCGTCGAAGTGTTTGAAGCTCTACCACCAGTAAGTATCGTCATCTTTATTTGTAATTTTTTCTTGTTTTCCTGATGGCGAAGTGTGTTGATACCGAGAGGATTGAAGAAAAAATTGAAATTTGATTTAAAAGTTGAAACCTAATTCAAAACGCGACATTACAAAAAGCTGCATAAGCTTGAAATGCGAATGATATTGTTCATTTCCGTCGGAATTTTCTAAAATTACCGAAGTGGGAATCACGATAAAAAGTCAACTGAAACACTAAAAAATTCATTTTCTTCTTGCCACTTGAGCTCCAGAAAATGTGTCGTACGAAAAGTTATAGTTGACTAAGACATCATTTGCGTTCAATTCCATTCAAATCCAAGATCAGCTTCTGTCTCGTCACTGACGTGTACGAAATTTCTAACTGATTTTATTCTTACGAATGCTTTTTTTAGGAGCTTCAGAAATGTTTCGAATCGAAAGACACTGAACTCTTGAAGAAAACGCTCGCGGAGATGCCAGTTGAAGAGGCGAAATACCATATGAAGAGATGCGTCGACTCCGGGATGTGGATTCCGCCTGCGGACGAAGACGAGCCTGTTGATCCGTGAATTTTTCGAATGGTGTCTATGAATTCATGCATGATCGATTCATCCTCTGCTGATTTCATTCGTCCGTGGATATGCGCCAATTCTTTCGTTTCTCGAATTTTTCTTCGTTTAGCCTCGCTGAAGTTTGGTGAACAACTAGCATCGATTCCATTTGTAAAAATCTGTGATTTTCATGAAATCTACGTGTTTACGCGAATATTTCGAGGTTTCTTCAGAAATTACTGAATCGTGAAACCTTACCCGTTTTTTATCTAGAAAAATAGTTCATCTCGTTACAAGCAACGAGGAATTATTTCAGGGATCTGTAATGTAACAAATTGAATCGCTTGCTCCAGCGTTTTTACGATCATCTTCTGAAATTGCTTCAGGGGTTCTCATTTTTCCAGAAGAAAAAATCTTTCGCTACCACGTTTCAAGTTTCATGCAATTGAAATCATGATTTTTAGACTTCTGGGAAACCCGTCGCTTACTGATTTTTAACCATGTAAGAAACTATCATTTTCCCGTGTAAATATACGACGCACATTGACTGCATGCCATGAAGTGCATGCCATATTCGCGTAAATAAGGTAGTAATCGCAAATTTTCTCGCGATTGACGCATTTTTTGCAGTTTCTTTGATTTTTGGAAGATTTTTGAAACGTGATCGATACATAGATGATGTGAACGAGATCGGCGGGGGGTTTCCGTGCGCCCTCTCGGGGTGTGAGTGAAAGTGTGAATGGGCTTCAGTTTGTGATGAACCCGGGATCCCGGGACGAATTACGATGGAAGAAATCATTTTGAGTGAGAAACCTCCGAAACCCGCCAAAGATGAACCCGAGAGAGTCAGTCGCCCCAGGACACCCAAGTCTTACTGGTACCGCTATCATCAAGAAAAAGCCAGGGATGAAATCCGCAAAAACGCCAAGAAAGTTTCCTCATCGCAAATGCAACACATTAAGGACGCTGTGGAGCAGAAAAGGGCGAGACAAAAGTCCAAGAATCTTGACCAAACTTCTGATACCCTGGTAGCTAATAAAAGACCAGACAGGGAATGCGAAGGTAGGTTTTTTTTTTTTTCGAGCATGAAGTTGATTTTCTGACAATTTTTCTGTGATTCTTTTCGCCCCGTGGAAGATGAGAAGCCGACATTCGACGGTAAACACGACCAGCAAAGAAGCAGCTCCTCTGGAAACGCGAAATTCATCAATCACATGTTCACGATATTGGATGGGGAATACGTTGGTCTGAGGCTAGCTCTGAAGAGACGCAGTTGGTTGGAAGTGCCTCATTTCATGAACAAGAATTCAGGTGAGTTCTCAAGTTTGATTTTTTAATAATGGTTCTTGTACATTCGAACCTCTTCAAGTCAAACTTTTAGGAACCCCATAAAAATTCGAGTTCGAAGGTTTTTACTGCATTATTTGAAGGGAGTTCAGACACAGGGACTTGAAACTCCTTTTTCTTTACGATTCTTCCTTAGAAATAAAGCGGGTAAAAAAGAAAACCTACAAATGAAAAATAACACAGGAAATTAAAAAAATAAATAAACTGCTTCAATTTACAAAGACATTGTAGGAATTATCCCTTGAGAAAATTAATACTTCCGCTTTTTCATTTTTTTTCCGCTATGACCACAGTATTTTTAAAAATGAACGTTATTGTTCAATTCCTCCATATGTTCTTTGATTTATTTTCTGTGAATAACTACTCAGTGTACTGTATTACTTTTGATGAGCTGGAATGTGTTCAATGGATGTGTGAGAAATTTGTTTGAGCATTGTGAGCGCTGACAAAGAGAAAATTAAGCTTGTAACTCACTTGTGCTTCAAGAAAATTGGGAAAATAGTTTCTTAATTCGTGAAAAATGAACCATTGATTATAGCTCCTAATTTTGCACAAATTAAGCCTGGAATCGAGTAAATTTAATTGATGTAAAATTAAGAAAAATTGCTAAGAATTTCGAAAAATTGCATGGGAACTTCCAGTGGCATCTACCAGCAAGAAAATAATTTATAACTGTTGAGGGTGCTACAAGGAATTCATCAAGAGGCTTTTCGAATACAGTACAGTATTGTATTCAAGGAAAGGATACTTCTCATTGTGGTTTGTGTTATTTCGATATATATGTACACGTTTGTTTTATAAATTGGCAATTTAAATTCAACCATTTTGTGTCTGATGTGATCTGGGTCGTGATGCAAAAAATCGAGTTTGGTCACAAACACTCGAAAAAAAAATGCAGGAAGTTATTTTGGAGCTTGTTCCTCATTTATGCCGGAAGTTTGACGAGGGCTGTCGTGATGGATTGTTTCGAGATCGTTTCCAGCAATGAGACGGGATCGTTTTATGATTGCTCAGACCAGGACCTCATGTCGGTTTATGATCGCGTGACGCATTTCAGAAATGTCGCTGGATGCCCTGGAAAACCTTGTCTACCGGTCACTTCGATCAAACCGCGTGCCCACTTTCATCTGGACAAATTCCAAAGATCTCGTCAGATCCCTGCATCGAAATCAAATCGTATCCAAGTTCCCGACGTCCACATTCACTACGAAGGTATGCTTAATTGATTCCTGGTCCTCGGGGATAATGAGTTTGTTTGTTTTCCCCCGAAAGCACTAGAAAATAGTAAATATCTCGATTTTTGAAAAATTGTGTTGAGCCTCTTCACAAATTTTTATTGGTTTCCATCCTTCTTCAGGTGGGATTGTGCAAGTGTCTTCAGGATGTTCACTGGGTTTTGAGTGAGCCCTGTTTTGGACAGTTCAAGTACTCTGGTGCAGAAGAATTCTTCCCTCGCTGCTATATTATTGGTGAGTTTTATTTTATTTTTCGTGGGAGGAAAGTACTGGACAGTTGAATTTTGAAAGCAGAACTTTATAAAGAAATATTCTGATGTAGCATGCAAACAAAGTGTTTTCCTTGTGGAAAACTTGAGGTCTTGAAGATGTATGCGATCATTTGAAATGTATTTCGAAGCCTAAACCGTTTAATTCAATTGTATTAAAAAGGATTGCGATAGTCATCAACGTTTTTTACACGGTTTTGGAATTATGATTTTAATTGAATCGAACTTCTCAGACGCGATAAGTCGCTTGCGCCCCTTTTTGTTCAACGTCCTCTCCTCTCGAATGGTAGTTGTTTTTACATAGGTGTCGCTTGAATCTTGTAATTTCTACTGGTCCTGGTTAGGGTTTGTTTATTTTGGTTAGGTTACTGATTTCAAATGACACCATTTCCGCGAGAAGGTTAAATGTTGAATCTTTGTTGAGAAAATGGATTGTGTCTTTGAGATACAAATGGAAAAACTTCATGTCCTGTATTTCCTGATAGATATGAATAGGAACATTTTGAAACAATTTTCCTGCTTAAAACTTCACTGAATCTACCGTTTATAGCTCTAAAATCAGTCCAAAAGCAAAAAATAACCAAATGCATGTTGCAGTGATGTACATACTGTACTTCATAGGAAAAAATCTAATGAGAGAAGCTCACTATCAGTCTGTTCAGGGCTATTTATGCGAATAAATTTATGAGATTTATGATATATCTCATATTTGGAACTTTCTCACAGGAATAGCACAATGTGTTCAAGATAAATAAAAATTTTTCGTGTTACTGTATAGGCAAAGTGTCGGTATCTTCCCACACGTTGGGGCAGTTTTTTATGTGTGGGGGTCCCAGAGCAAGTGGCAATTATTCACAGAATATCAATTGACTACGTTTTTGGAATTTTTTAGACTGTGTGTAAGCTACGCGCCTTGTAGATCTCTTTTTTTTACCGTTTCTGTACGAACCCTCTTCTCGTTCAGGTGGATCCGAGGACAAGGAGCCCTTCATCCGCGATTACATGGCAACTGCATACATTTCCGTCGTCAAGTGGGTCGTGGAGAAGTATCATCCCGGTCCTGTTGGGTCCGGTATCGAGTCCCCGACCGGAGAAGTTCCTCATCGGGTGATTACTGAGGCCCAGGCACGGATTCGGGATTTGATCAAATCCTGGGACGACGTGGACTGCGCTTATGGCGACGGGATCCAGACGAAGAACCCCGAATTTTTGGATCAGAGGCAGTTTCTGGCCTTCTTTTACAAGTTGGTTCATGCGGGGGCCGCGTTGGAGCTGACGGACGAGGAGAATGTTTTGGCATTGTACAACGAATGCTACGAATTGATTGAACGAGTGGAAGTGAGTCACGATTTTTTTTTGTCCGTCCAATTTCTTGTTGCTGAATATTTATTTTCACTTTAAATAGTTTTAAAAAAGCGTGGGCTTTTAAAAATAAGTCCTGAAATAATTTTTATTCCGTCTCACGTTTAGTATGGATTCTATGCCTCGTCTTGTGTAAGGTTTCTTGGAAGTTGATTCACTTTTTCGTTGGGATTAATTTTTATTTTAATACCGATGCACTTCTTAGAGAAAATTGATTTTTCTGCTGCAATGACTATTTTGAATTGGACTGCTGAAGAAACTGGTCTTGTAAATTTGCTGAAAATTACAAATTTCTGCACATGAAGCATTATAAAGTTTAGCCTCAGTAATTCCAAGCTCCCCATGTCCAGTTTTTTTTTTTAAGTTCCTGTCTGAATTAACTAAAGAAAATGTATTAAAAACATCCCTAACTCGAAGGCGTATCACCTAAAATATTTATGCTTGAAATTTTGTGGAGGCTTCTCGCATATTTTATTAACCCAAGGAAGAGAAAAAAAAAACGGAAGTTAACGCTTTTTGAACCCTTGCCTCCAAGTCCAGCATCTTGTCAACTTCTTTTCAACGCAATTTTGGAACAAAAAATACCACGAATTTAAGCTCGGTTACATTTTTTTTCATGTCAACAATATTAATTTCCTCAAGTTGAATTTTCTCTCTGGTCCCTTGCACTTTGACTTGAAGAGTTTCAACTTCAGTAATCGTCTTTATCTCAATTGTACCTGTTAAGAGAAGCTTGCTACCGTACTTTTTGAGGGAAAATGGTTTGGATATGTGTTGAATTGAGGGTTGGCATGAAAAAAAAAAACCAAGAAATATTCCTCTTATTCAGTATAGAGGCAGTTTGGATGACTTCAATAGTCAACAATGACAAACCCCTGTTTGTATTGAATGTATGTATGTATGTATATTTCTTACAGGCGATTTGGCCCGCGTCCAAAAGCGACGGAGTGACAAACACGTGGATTGTGAAGCCGGGTGCGAGATCGCGAGGCCGTGGGATCCTCGTGTTGAACAAGTTGGACAGCATTATGCAATTCTCGAA